CAAAATTGGATTGAGAGAGATCCGATTGAGCGCCGGCGCGCGACGATCTCGCCGATCAATCCGCTTTGCTGATTTCGTTTTAATGTGATCACACCGGTGCAATCCGGTCGAACCGTAGTGCGAGCGAGCGGATGTGCGCGCGATAATACGGTTAAACAGCGGCTCCGCAGCGGCGTTTGTACGCGTGTAGCGCGTTGCACATCCCACGCGGCGGCATGTTACGGAAGCTTGGTCGCTCGATCGGCCGACAATTAATTTGTATAAGTTAATCCGCGCTGCCGATTATCTCGACGATGTGAAATCGCACGTTTTGCACGTGCTGGAACGTGCCGCGCGCGTTTCGCCGCGACCGCACGGCGCGGCGCGTCGTGCGGCAAAAGGTGCACGAGGAGAGAGAGAGACCCGATGTCGGTCCTGCGACGAGAAAAACACCTTTGGTCTCGATCATTAAGGGGACTGGAGGGTCAGATTACTGAATAATCGTGCTTGTTTTGTGATAATGATTTTGTGACGAACTGAATAAATGTGCAAGAATGAAAATTTTACATATGTTTATATAACATATGAAGAATAGAAAAATTTTGTTTTTAAACAAATACTCATATAAATATACGTCCACTTAAATTTTAAACGCGTTTTTCTCGAAATTTTGTTGTTCAACTTTTTGCAGTGATTTCTCCGAAACCGAGCTTCGTATCGATTTGAAATTTTAAAGCAATAATATTTGTTCATCTGGCTCTCAGGTGAACCATGAACCATGAACAACTCCGTTAAAATATTTCATTTCGAGATATTAATTTTTTTATTGTAAAAGAACTAAAAAATTTGAATTTTTTCCCAACAATAACTGCCATTTTGTTAATTTTGTTCGATTTTTTGTTCTAGTGGTTCACCGGATAATGATAAGCCTCCTCAAGATTTTTAGCTAAAATTCGCTCTGATCGGACCACCGAGAGCCGAGATATTATTGTAATAACGATAACTTAAAAAAAAAAGGAGAGTATATTTCAGCTGTATATTTCAGCTATATATATCGTATATTTATACGAGTATTTGTTAATAAACAAAGTATTTCTACTCTTCATATGTTGTATAACTATACCTAAAATTTTCATTCTTGCACATTTATTCAGTTCGTCACAAAATATTATCAAAAACAAGCACGATTTTTCAGCAATCTGACCCTCCAGTCCACTTAACAACACGAAGTAACGCGTTACTCACAACGCCGTCACCGTTGCGAGTTACTTGTGACGTCGTCACTTTGCGTACGTGGGACGAGATGAAGAAGATGCCATCGGAACTTGGTGGAAAAGGTGACGGACGACGACACCACGATATAAGAAAGAACAGAAGGTTCACTCAACACAAAATAATGCGAACGGTCGTTTGTCGCGCATGACCGAACTGCACAACCAACAATATGGCGGCCAATAGCTGTCAAAATGAGTAAGTGTAAGCAACGATTAACCATATGACCGAATTTTTAATATAATATTACTGTTTTATTAAAATCAGTAAAATGAATGAAAGAGGTGGGTATAAATGTTGTATAATAAACTGCAAATTAACAAACTTAAATTTTGTTTTAATCAAAATGTGTCCCCTTCGAAACAATACAATATAAAAAAAAGGTGGACCTCAATATCATTTAGTTTTTGAGATTTTTTACCTGTTACATTTGAAATTTAGCATCTTGTATATATATATATATCTTTCTATGTTATAATTAGTATTATGCTATATATTATTAATTATAATATTATTAATATATTGTATTAATAATAGTTCATATTTTTATATTATTTTATAATGTATACCAGGTCTGTAAATATGAATTTGCCCATAGATAGCCCTAGCTGTCAATGTAGTTACTGTCAAACCGCGTCATTGGCGCCATTTCCATTTGTTGACATCTGACAAAGATTTTCAACTCACAACAATACAAGTTTCATACAACAGCATAGTTTGTAATAGTGTTGAACTGTTGTCGAATTTTGTGCCTGGAAGCTACGATTTGCGGACGGCATTGATTTTCTGTTACCATTTGAAGAAAACTGCTGCAGAATCGCATCGAATGCTTGTCGAAGCTTACGGTGAGCATGCTCTTGGTAAATCACAGACAGTGCTTTGAGTGGTTTAAAAAATTCAAACGTGGCGATTTTAACATGAGAAACGAAGAACGTGGAAGACCACCGAAAAAGTTTGAAGACAGCGAATCGCAAGCATTGTTGGATGAGGATGACGCTGAAACGCAACAACAACTCGCGGATCAATTAAATGTGACACGAGAAGCCGTCTCCATACGTTTGAAAGCCATGGAAAAGATGCAGAAGATGGGAAAATGGGTTCCACATGAACTGAATGAAAGACAGCAGGAAAACCGAAAAACCACTTGCGAAATGCTGCTCGCCAGGTACAAAAGAAAGTCATTTCTTCATCGAATTGTGACTGGCGATGAAAAGTGGATATATTTTGAGAATCCTAAGCGTAAAAGATCATGGGTAACTCCAGGCGAACCATCGACATCAACTGCAAGGCCAAATCGCTATGGACGGAAGACAATGCTCTGTGTTTGGTGGAATCAGAAGGGTGTGATCTATTATGAGCTGCTAAAACCTGGCGAAACCGTTCATATTGAACGCTACCGACAACAAATGATCGATTTGAATCAAGCTTTGCGTGAAAAACGACCAGAATATCAAAAAAGGCAACACAAAGTGATTTTGCTTCATGATAATGCACCATCACACACAGCAAAACTGGTGAAGGAAACTATTGAGGCGTTTAATTGGGAAATACTTTCGCATGCGACTTACTCACCAGACTTGGCTCCGTCCGATTACTACTTATTTGCATCGATGGGACACGCACTTGCTGAGCAGCGCTTCACTTCTTACGAAATTGTACGAAAATGCCTCGATGACTGGTTTGCCTCAAAAGAGCAACAGTTTTTTTGGCATGGCATCCACAAATTGTCAGACAGGTGGGAAAAAATGTATAGCTAGCGATGGGCAATACTTGGAATAAAATATTTTTTATCATTTTCATACAATAAACGTGTATTTTCTATACAAAAATTCCGGTTTCATATTTACATACCTGGTATTATAGATTTGACAGTAAATATTGAAAAACGGCAATAAATCTGCTTTAGCTACTATTCATTGTCATTCAAATTATAACCCGCGCACAACCAATAATATGGCGGTCTTGTAGCACCTGAGATCAAAAGCACCGCCATCGACTGAACCTTCTGTTCTTTCTTATACCGTGACGACGCGTTACTTTCGGCGCGACGAGCAACGGTAACGGTAACGAGTCGGGAGGTAAGTTTCCCAACTTTGGCCCGAGGACCATGCAGTATCCGCGCGAAATTCAGCGAGAACTCAAACGCTCGCGGCCGTCTGGAGATTCAGCCCCCCATTATCGATTTCCCGGATTCGCAGCTTCTTCGCGAGATTCGAGTCGCCGGAAGTTGTTAACGCCTGAGGAGAATGCTGTCCCGATTGCCGAGTGCCGAGTGTAACACGCTCGCGCGTTAACATTCTGTTAGATTGTTACACGCGAATTTGAATTCCCGAATGCGCGGAGTGCAGGGAGCTGCTGCGGTCCTTCCAGCAGGGGGGGGGAGCAGCCTCTTTCGCCGGACGTGGCGAACACCGTCGCCCGGCACGTTCCAGCAATAGCACGACGCGTTTCCGAAAATACATGAACCGCCGGCGACTGCCGGCCACCGGAAGCGGGCAGTGGACATAATTGCTGAAGTAACAATGTTATCTCGCGGGGGCGCTCATTATTTATCGTCGGCGTTCGACCGCGCGCGCGGATGTATCGATTTATCACGCTCGCGGAAATCAGAGCGCATATAATATGTGTCGTTTGTTATTCGCTCGCGGTTGTCCGAAACGGTAATTGCTTCGCTTCGCTTCAGACGCTTCAGAGTGAACCACCGTTTCGCACAGCTCTGCTGCGATTCTGCTGCCCGCCCTGTACAGGCCGACTCGCGAAGGGGTGCAAAAGGGCGCACTGGTCGCGCTTCGTTCGACCGTCGCCAGACGTCGGAGATGCGACGGGAGGGAAAAACGTCATCGAACGGGAAGACGCGACGAGCCCGCTCCGAAAATTCGCCTGCTGCGAGCTTTTACAGGCGCGCGGGGGTAGCTCGATGAATCACGATGAGACACACACACACACGGCCCGAGAGAGCGCGAATGTTGCGAGGTAAATAAGATTACGCGCTAGAGCTACCTGTTGATCCGCCCGTCATAGCCCGAAGGAGCCATCGGCTTTTAGGGCCGCCGTAACGTCCGTCGCGAATGCAGATTAACCCCGCGTCCTCATGCTGACGCACGACAGCAGGTCGTAGTACGTGACTTCGCGATCGATCAGAGTATCAGGGGGCTGCTCGACATCGGCATCGGCTCCGCGCCGATTGGGCGGGGGGGGCGCGCGCGAGCAGAGTTCAGCGGGCCAAGCTACATCCTGTCCGCAGGGACATTCTGCAGAGACCGAGCTGAGGAAGAGACGGCCGGATACCGAGGCAGTCGTTTGATTGCCCGGAGCGCAGCCTCGTGTCGTGGAGATGCTATTGTCGGGGGGAAGCTTGCGCTCCGCAAACGTTACCACGTGGAGAAACTTGAACGTGTGGGCCGGCCATATTGATCGGCCAGGTGCTTGACTTGCCTGTATTATCGTTGCAGCACGATTACACGGCTGCGTCGTATGGTAACAGTAGTACCTGAAGACCTACGTGTGAGCCCATCTACAACGGCGGCCTCGTCGCTCGACCTCGAAGGAGCCGCAGCCACCAGGAGCCCGCAAGCGACAACGTTGCGAGCCGACGTTCCATTCTCTCTTAAGCCTCGTCGTCGGAGACAATCGCGCGACGCGGTAGAGTAGAACAAAAAACGAAAGGAGCGGGGGGAGCGAAAGTGACGTGTGTTGTAAGAACGGTGTGTAAGAGTGTATCGCTCTTAGAGATGATATGTCTCACTCACTCGGCGTTGGTCTCCGGCGTGGGCAGATCGCCGATCGTCGTCAACGTCAGGGTGGACCAGTAGAGGGAGCCCAGGTACTTCCTGGTCAAGGTGGCGTACTCGCCGGGCCGGTACGGGTACACCCAGTCGCCCTGAAAGCCCTCGGTCTCGCTCAGCAGGTAGTAAAAGCAGCCGAACCAGTGCGCCAGTATGAGCAGTATGTGAATGAGGTTCAGCACGCGCCAGAGGTTCGGGTAGACGGTGCGCGACTCCACCATGTAGTAGTAATTGTACACGCGGTAGATCTTGAGGAAGCGCGGGAACCTCAGCATCGGATTGCTGCCGAGGTTCATCTGCAGCAGGTCGAGCGGCAGCAGCGCCAGCAGGTCGAGCACGAACGACTTGGACTTGAGGTAGTGGCCGGCGAGTTTCCGGCTGTTGTACACCATCAGGCCCTGCTCGAGGTAGCCGGTGCGAAACTGCACCGCCACGTCGAGGAAGAACACGAGGTCGGTGAAGCCGTCGCAGGCGAGCCAGGCCGCCGGCGCCAGCGCCTGCAGCTCCGGCAGGCTCTGCCGCACGATCAGCGTCCACAAGTTGTAGAGCACACAGGCCGACAGCAGCATCAGCCAGTAATAGTAGAAGTTCTCGTCCGGATTCACTACGGTCTTGGGCGGCTTCTGGGGCTTGCGGGGCCTCCTGCGCCGCCGGCCGCCGGCCTCCTTGTCGTCGGTCGCGTCGCCTTCGCCTTCGCCGGTGTCGAGGGTCTCCTGACTCTCCGGTATCTGCCTGGTGGAGAACCTCTTGAGAAACGAGTCCTCGCGCTTGAGCGGCGGCTTCTTCTGTATCGTGGAGATCGCCGAGGACAGCTGCACCGTCGTCCGCAGTTTCATCCACCGCTGATTGCTCTTCGTTCTGCGGGCAGAAAGAGAAATAGGTCGCCAGTCAAGGGCAAGGTAGAGGGCGAAGCTGCGCGATCAGCCAGCCTCGCGGGTTTCTCGCGCGAGCAAGCGCGAGCGCGCGTACGCATTCCAGGTGGCTCGAGTGGTCGCGCGATTATGTCGCGCTGCTAAACGTCGAGAAGGTAGAACCTTCCGTATAGAACGGTACAAAGTTTGACATTACTCCGGATATCGCTCGGACGTGAAGTTTAACCGCGATGCGGAATACGTGGTGTCGCGAAAGTAGCGCGCAGGGATTCAATCTTGAATAAATTCTACACGGGAGTACAGTGTGACTCATGCAAACTTTCGGAAAAGAAAAGAGAGAGAGAGAGAGAGAGAGAGAGAGAGAGAAAGGGGGCGGGAAAGAAATCAAGAGGTACGTTCAGAATATAAATTCAAGAGAACGTCTTGTGCAAACGACAAATTCCTCTTTACAAGGCGCGGCCCGCCTTGTAACAATGACGAGAGAGATCTAATAAAAAGTAAAACGCTGCCAAATTGCGCGAGTTAAGTCGGTTCGTTTAGATACGCGAATTTCGCTTCTAAAACAAACAAGTCAACTTGATTTCCTCACGTCGTCTTTTCAGTCGCAGCTTAGACGCGAGACGCATTCAAACGATGTGCGCTTGACGTTGAATACGTGGCAAGGCAAATTCAAGCTCGAGTTGCATTTTTGTCGCCGAGAGCGTGGGGGCGAGCCGAACGCGATGTATTCGCGATATTTTGCGCGCGATGGGACTCGTAATCGCACACACGACTCGTGCGTCTCGCGATGCGACGTCGAGAATAAAATTATTCTCTCTCATCGACCCGTAAAAGAGGGTGTATTTTTTTTTAAATATAAACGCGCGCGCGATGTACATTTTTTCTATATGCTCGGAAGCATATTCATTCACGTCGCACATTCTACTTCATTAGATTTAATCGTATGCATTGACCTATGAATTATTGGACAGCGCTTTATATGCGAAACGCTAAAGTTGAAATGTGATAAAGGGGATTTTCGAACGTGTGTAAACGCGGCACACAAAGTTGCGCCCGGCGATATTTTTCCCATCAACCGGGAGAGGGAGAAAGAGAAAGAGAGCGAGAGCGAGAGCGAGAGTGAGAAGAGAGAGAGAGAGAGAGAGAGAGAGAGAGAGAGAGAGAGAGAGAGAGAGAGAGGGAAATTTCATCTTGTGAAAAATCCTATTTTCCACTGGCCTTTCATCAGGGAAAAGATGGCTACGCTGGACGCGAGTGTGTCCCGCTCTATAAATAATCATTCTCCAACGTGACTTTTACGAGTATTAAATGATCCGCGTGGATATCCTCGCAGGAGCTAAAAGTACGTGCCTTAAAGACCGACTTATCCGGACGGAAATAATCTGTTCCAATGACGCGTGTACGGATTTATGAAGGTAGTAACGCGGATAAAGCGCTCGTCAGCCGGATGAAGAGTGGACGAACGGAGGGACGTTGACGTCGACTCGCGGCGAGAATTGATGAATCGAGCGCGTCTACGCGCTACCTACCCCCGGAGAAAAGGACGACACGCGTCCTTCTCATCGTATCGAGATGCGATCGCGTCTCAGTAATTATAATGCAGACTATGCACCTCTATTTCTTCGCCGGCGAAAATGTCACGGACATGAGATCGCGAGAACACTCGCCGCCGCGTCGCTCTCAAGCGCGACACTCCCGCGGCTGAGAATCTAAATATCCCGATGCGCATCGCGCACGGCAACGCATTTCAATACACTTTCACGCCGCAGCCACGCATGCATGCGTGCGCGTGCGTGCGTGCGTGAAAAATCGGCCCTGAAAAAGAGACACACAATCGGCAGCCCCAAGTCGCTTTGTAATCGGGTTTCCGCGCGACTGAGAGCACTGAGAGCACCGCGCGCGAGTTCCTTGCGAACCACGCATGCATGAGCTTTGTCGCGCGAGAGTCGCACAGCGGGATTCACTGTATTCACGCATCGCACAAGGCACCTTTTTCGTTCCGCAGTCCTCTCGCTCTATCATCTAGTTATCTTGCAAACACACACGAAGATATGTACGTATGTACGTATCAAAAGTAACGCCTACTATATATATGTATATCGTTCCATTCGCCAAGACCTAGTGAAACGAAAGAAGAAACACACTATTCTCTGCGTTTCGCTTTTCCTTTTTGTCTCTTCTTCTCAGGTATCAAGTCATCCTACATCTCTCTAAGATCTATATAAAGTAGGAAGAGATTCTTGCTTGAAGTAAGAAACGAGGCGAGAATCGGAGATTAGATCAGTTAGGTAGAGTATATCAGATGGATAGGAGGCAGACAGACAGACAGACAGACAGACAGACAGACAGACAGACAGACAGACAGACAGACAGACAGACAAACAGACAGACAGACAGACAGACAGACAAATAGAGAGGCAAACAGATAGAGACAGAAACATCGACAAGTCGTACACGTTCGAAACAGAAACCATAACGTAACTAGAGCTCGTCACTGTGTCACTACGCATTCTTTAATCGTTAACACATCCATGTGAAGTGTCGTAGAGATTGTAGGTGTCGCCGCGTGTGTGTAGGTCCGCCAGCCCCCGAGTGGAAATATAAGATCGATCTCTCCCTCCCTCGTCCTCGGACGCCTATTTTCCGCCTGTTTAAAAGAATTAATCGTGGCTCGGTTGGCTTGAACTAATGTTTACCGGGGATGGCCCGCCGCGAGAGCTAAACTGCCGGGGCGAGCTAAACGGCCCGCCGCACCGTGGGGCCAGATGACATTCATTGGTTCAAAATTCTCTAGAGACCTCAATTTCCAACCGATCATCGACACCAATGGATGAGGTTGATCCTGAATAAATTCCGAGGAGAATTTTGTCTTGCCAAAATAAAAAAAAAATTTTTTCTCGAATTACTAGCTCCAAAAGAGGAAAAATTATCGTTAAACGCGAGAAACTTATGAAATATTCATTATTCGACATTTATTTCTGTCTAATAGCATATTCAGTGGATTGAAACTATGAAACCAATCAACAGACACTTCGAGATTGATCGAACTTGAACCAGAAACCCATTAACCCAAAACTCATATGTCCAAAATACAAAAACATCAAATATAGACCCGTTAAGCACAAAACCGAGGGATTTTGAGTCTTAAGCCCATCAACCTAGGAATCTATCAATCCGAGAACTTTTTAGCTCATGGATGCATGAAGCCGTATATATTAAGAGCTTCAAATAGTCCAAGAACCCAATCTAGCTCGAGAATAATACTCGACATTGAGCATTCAGTTCGAGCCTCGAAACTTTTAAGACAAACCCTAAACCCACGAACCCTGAGCCGATAATTTTTTCGAAATTTCGGCTAGACAGATCTCTTTGGAATTTATTCAGGATCAACCATCATCCATCGGAGTCGATGATCGGTTGGAAATTCAGGTCTCTAGAGAATATTGGACCAAAAAATGTCATCTGGCCCCACTGTGCGCCGCTAAGCTGATAATCGATGCGTTCGTGAATTTAGGAACGTTCCAAGTGGAACCGCAGAGAACCGTCGAGAACAGATACGACTTCAATCCGCCTATCAGCCCCATCGTCTTGGGGTGCGCCGTGGCCGCTATTCACGGACGGATCTTGTATTTAAGACAGTCTTGAGCTGATCTTCACACACGTACAGCATCTGAAGACGGACTTGAGCTGATCCCGAATACAAGATCCGCTCGGCGCTGCAAATGCTTCGCTCGAAGCGAAGTGAAGCTCGACCGACCAAATCGCGGTCGCTTGACCAGCTTGGAAGCGTCTGCGGCGTTGAACGGGAATTCTATCCCGAGGGAAGATCACATCATGAGCAATACAACGGTAACGTAACAGAGCGGCTGGGTGATCGGTGTGACGGGCTGGGTAGTAGAGACAAGTAGAGAGTGGCGAGACAGGATAGAGTTGCAGTGACGAGAGCGAGTAGAGTAGCCAGGACAGGACGCGACGCGACGTTCACGAGGTAAAACGATCTCGCCGCACTCGAGACTTCCGTTTGATCCACCACCGCCGCAGTCCATATCGTAACGACGTCGTTGCGTCACGCGATGACCGACAGCTCTATTTGGGATCAGGGGTCAGGGGGTGAGGGGGCTGCAAGTACCGGCCGACGTAACACGACGAGTATTATTCTCTCGAGACTGGGGCAAGACGGCGCAGGTGGAGGAGTACGAGCGCGCTTGGCGAATGCAAATCCACGACCCGGCTGCGAACTTCACGGCTTCGGTACGGCTGGCCGCGACTGGCGGCAGACTGCCTTTGTCGCTCGTCCGTGCTGGAAGTCTCGTAAATTGTACACTCCCTCGTTTTACATCGTGGCGTCGCGTGGCGACGAGCCGGGTAGGAACAATACGATCGGATTCGCCTGGTGCGCGCGCGCGCACATCGAGAGACCTTTGAATAATTCACACGCTCGTTGCCTGAAATCCGCGAAACACTTTTGAAAGTCGCGCTGCGTGTCCCGGCGGCAGCAGTCTTAAAAATCCGGAATCCCCCCGGGAATATTCGATAAATTCGAAAATCTATCGCGAGCGCGGCCGCGCCGGATGAATAATTGACAAGATGCAAATGGACACAGAGCGAGATTCTTTCGACGCTTTCGCCGAGATTTCCGAGATTTCCCTCTTCTCCCTCGGCAGCTTCTTTCTTTCTTTCTTCGCCCCGGAGACTTCGTCCCGAAGTTAATAACCGAGAAAGCGAGGTTAATAATTTTCGAGGTCTCTCCCCTGGACTTTCCTCTCGAGCGGTGACTTTCGAAAGTACACAGCACGCGAGAGGCGATTAAAGCCGTACAACGGCCACTGTCGCCACGATCGAAAAGAGAAGAAAACGCAGCGGCAATTAACACACGCTGACTGCCACGTTGCTTTCCCGCGATTGCCTCGATGAACCCAAGTTCGAATCACCACATACGCGTGGAAATAAACGCAATTCGCCGAGCGCGTGTGCGCTCGTTAGCTCGTTTCGCCCGAGCTCTCGCTCGGGCTGTACATTTAAATCTTTACATCCAATCGAGTCCCCGTTTTATGTGTCAATCAGTGAGAATCAAAAATTATCACAGTCTCCGTTCCATCCGCAGTGGCCACCGTGGCAGTCAACGTATCGATGATTCCGCAAATGCGATCCCGATAGGGCATGTCGCGGCTCGTCAGAAAATTTCAACATCATCCCCGGCTCTAAAGTAAATCCGAGGAGGCCACAGGGGAGGAGGGGGTTCGGAATGGCGTACGTCCCGGGTGTGTATGTGTGTATGCGGATAAGGTGGTGCCAGAGGTTACCGTCCATATCGACTAATGGCGGGAATACCTCTTGATTTTGCGTAGAGAGGAATATAACGCCATGACCGCGCGTACGTTACTCCATTTTTGCGAGCCCCTCGTGCTACGGGGTCTCCGGGCTGCGGCGGGTATCTCTGTATCGAGGCCGTAGCTCTCCAGCGATTCCGAAGTGGTCGATGTAGCTGCGAGTGTTGGACCGGCGGTCGCCTTCGTTTCGAAGGATTGTTCTTGGCACGAAGAAGCGCGTCGTCGACGGTAGATCTCTGACGACCTGCGAAGAAGACAGAGAACCCACACGGGTTGCCTCTCTCTCTCTCTCTCTCTCTCTCTCTCTCTCTCTCTCTCTCTCTCTCTCTCTCTCTCCCTCTCTCTCTCTCTCTCTCCCTCTCTCTCTCCCCCTCCTGTTCCATTTACTCACACACATACACACGCGCGCGCGCGCGCGCACACACACACACACACACACGCGACGCGCGCACGCACGCACGCACACGCACACGCACACGCACACGCACACGCACACGCACACGCACACGCACACGCACACGCACACGCACACGCACACGCACACGCACACGCACACGCACACGCACACGCACACGCACACGCACACGCACACGCACACGCACACGCACACGCACACGCACACACGTACACACTCATACATACTCTCTCTCTCTCTCTCTCGCTTTCGTTATTCTCGTATGTCTCTCCCTGTCGACGACCCTGTTCACGAAGAAGCTGCACTCTTAGCTGTTCCCCGAACATAGCCGAGCATGCACACTCGTCCACAAATGCGTTATGTATGAGTGGTTTGGCGACGTTCGCTTCAGGCGAGATGGTTCCCTTCAATGTCTTCGACATGATATCTTTACACGGACCTGCACTGGTACTTTCTTTTTGCCTTCCCGTGCGTTCTTCCGTTGAGAACTATCAATCTTGAGAATATCGAGTCGCCATCGCTCGACAATTACGCTCGGTCGTCGCGAGCCGCTCAACAGCCGATTTATCCTGAACGCTTCAAGGCGCGAGTTGGTCCGCGCGCGTATCCGTCTCGCGTGTAGCGATAACTACTTCAGGGCGTGACGTGACTCGCGGTATTTTGTTAGTACACCTTCACGTCTGTCACGAGTTATGATTGATAACGTGACACGGAGTGCCGACGAATACGAATGCGGACACCCCGCAAAAAAAGCTTTACCTCGGATTCACTCGGGGAACGACCTTGCTCGAAAGCGACGTAATACGGTTATGCTCTGTAACGTATTTCATTGAGTACGTGAACAGGTTTCATCACTCATATCTCTCCTCTCTCGCTCTCCCACTCACTCTGCCTCACTCGTCCGCTCATTCTCTTCCTCATTCGCGCCCTCGCTCTCTCTCTCTCTCTCTCTCTCTCTCTCTCTCTCTCTCCCTCTCTCTCTCTCTCCCTCTCTCTCTCTCTCTCTCTCTCTCTCTCTCTCTCCGAGTCAATCCCGCGTCCTCTCGCACAAACGCAATCAAACAATCCTTCATCCTTTCCTCTCCGTGTCCGTCTGTCCATCTCCATATCACATCGTGAAAAACGAGCCATCTGCGAGCTGAAAACTCGCCAACCGGCCGGCCGGCCGGTCGACGCGACGTTAAATTCATTTCATCCCCGTTCTCGCGGAAAAAAGGTTTCGGTCGCGCGCTCGACGACCGAAGGTTGTCCGGCGCCACGGTGCGTATCGCGACCGATTAATCGCCGGCACATAAGGTTGATGAACGCCGCAGTTTCGCCGAGTGCACTCTGCGCTTACGGGATTGCGACGGGAGATTACCACGCACGATGCCACTCGTTCGGGGGATCGCCCGTCGCTCGACGAGGAGATGCGGGGGTACGAGGGGTCAGGAGGGGAGGTGTTTCACAGCCTGGGAACTGAAAGCTGCCTGCAGAATCCGGGAGAGCGGGAGTCTCTGGGCAGGACACGCTGAATAAATAAAGGGAGAGACTCGGTGATGATATGCTTAGCGTAGGGGTGTGCCGAAACTAGACGAGACTCTGCACATGCAGCGCGAGAAAGTCATCGCGCGATGGACAATGGCGAAGAAAAGCGAGAGACACGAGAGCGGCCGACGACGACGAAATGGCGGCGGACGCGCCCCGCCCGGGGCGGGTGCGCGAACGCGCGCGCGATGCCTCGACTTCGGAATTACCTACGTCGCGCGCGCTCGCTCTAATTATGCGCGACGAGAATTCAAATTTGACGCCGGGTATTATGACGGAAAATACACACGGCCGATGCAACACGGCGCGCTGCGCGCGCGATACCGAGCGAGACCCACTTTCCCCGGGCACGTTCCGCATACGTAGCGATCCAATCAGACGTCGTTGATTTCACCCTTCGGCTGCTATGCGCCGTACATTACAGCTGCTACCCGGTAAACGATTTTTTCGGACGAGACGCCACCGCGGTGGCTTCCTGCTGAACGACCCGTCAGGACGAGGCGCCTCTAAAGTGGCTCTCTCCTGAAACTCGCACGGAGACGATGAGCGGGTAGCTCATTTGTTACTGAGCAATGGGTTGTCTTTTTGGCTTTTTTGCCTTTTTGAGCCCTTGCGAATAAATATGATGAAGAAGGTAATCGAATTTGAAAGGAAAGCCAGTTCTCGACTAGAAATTTATCCCATGGTCCTGTTCAGGTTAAGCTCATTTGGATATCAGGTCCCAATAAGATAACACTATCAGGTTCTAATAAGTCATGTAACGCAGCGTGGATATCGGGATCTTAGTAAGGATTTATAGTCAGGTCCTTATTGAGTTACCTTATGGAATCCTTATTACGTTTTTTTTTTCAAATTATGGCTCCTGATTGCTCGCCATGGCTATATTGGATGATGACATTAGAAATAAGAAATGACACGCTGAAAATTCTTTCATGTCATTTCCAAATAAAAAGATATTTGCATGAAATGATATTTTAGATCGTTTGAGGAAACTTGTAAAATATTTCGGAAAAGAAACATAAAATGAATATCATAAGATCATAAAGTATCACAAAATGACAAGACATAAAGGAGTGTTAAAGAGAAAAGTTGAATGTCACGTTAATTTTACAACTATATTTATTGACTGCTAAAAGAAGGATAGTTTCCATAGCATTTTACAAATATATTCAAGTGATCTGAAGTGTTTTTTCAATGCAAACATTTTTATATTTGGAAATGATACTCAAAAATTGTTTCGTTAAAACTTGATAATGCAAATCATATTACGTACAATGAATAAGATCCCGACAAGAACCTGATTAACTGAACCATATTGTATCATGCACAGGTTGCAAGGTTGCAATGGTACATTAAGGTCCTAATGTGGACCCAATCATTATAACCTTATAAAGGTCTTCCTTACTCATTTCATCGTCAGGACATTATAAGAACTGACTTACTTAGGATTACCTTTCATTCACCCTATTAGGTCCTTATCAATATTAGGTGAACCTGATCAAAATTTCTAGTCGGGTTGCAGCCGCTTCAGATCGACCAACTGCGTCTAATTTGCATTAGATTTCGAATCGCGACGGAAGTCGAGACCTCGCGGCGAATCCTCGGCCGCTCCGCGCTCGCCGGCGTCCCTCGACGTTCTCTTTTCCGCTGTCGCGCAGCGCTGAACAGAAAATCTCGCAGGAGCAGGTCTCGCGACTGAAGTCAAACGGCGGGGTTGCAACCATTTTCCTAGACTGCCGGCGAGTATACAAGTATACTTACCGCGACCGCTGTGTGTTTCTTGCAGCGTCTACATTACGCTCGAACTTACTCGCTCCCTTCGCTTTTACCTTCCTGGCCCGCGGTATTGACCTATGAAGGGTCAAAAGGTACACTCGAATAATTCGCACGAGGCCAAGGGTGAGATTAAAACGTCGTGCACCCTTCGAGACTTCCTTCGAACGAACGTTCCAATGGCGGCGCTTTAACCCTGCGCGTTTACCCTCTCCGGGAGCAACCCTCCGGCGTCGGCGTCGGCGTCGGCGTCGGTGCGCCGTTACAGAGCCTTTCAAGAGGCCCGACCACAATTTACGTGCCAGCTCCCAAGCGCTGGAGGATAACTCCCGCCCGGTCACTCGCGTCGAGCCCGAGGGCTTTATACAACGCCAAGTTTCACGTCGGTGTAACTGATCAAATCGATGGGCCGTTCACGCGACGCGAGGGCAAAAATGCGACGCGAGCGCACTCGAGGGCGCAGAAGTCTGGCAGAATGAATAGCGTATGAGGCTCTCGTGATGCCTGGTCGACTAGGAATTCGCCGTAGGATCTTGCCGTGAGAGCCGCGCTTAGATGCTGCTAGCGTCTATAATTCCTCGTGAAAGCATAATAACAGCGTCGACGATGTATCGCGCGCGCCGAGACACGCCCGCGTGCACGTCTGATGTCACCTTCCCACCAAAGTCAATGAAACTTTAACCTGACTTTCAGACTCTGTCCGGATAGAATTTTAACTCGGGTTAGTGTTTAACCCTTTAACGCCTACTGGTAATTATATATTACCAGATATATTACCAGAAATGCATTTAAGAATCCGTAACTTAGTCAAGAAAGGAGATATTTTCGTTTTCTTTGCATCACTGTAAAGGTGAATTCTGCTTCTAAAGAATGGTATGTAGATTGTATGTAGATTCGGTTTAGTTTGCTTTTAGCTCAGTTTTAATGATAACATGTTTCGTCAAATTCCAAGTAGGCATAGTTGGCATTCTTACTGATATCTAGAAGTGCACTATAAATGAATAGATTGGTATCTGTTATAATTTTATACATTTGGAAACTTTCTCAGATGCAAAATCTGAAATTAAAAGAATACAGAAATTCAAAATGGCGAATCCAACATGGTGAACACGAAAATCAAGAAATCAACGTATTTTCGTGACGCCTGGTGACCTACAGTTTTTTGTGCGGCGAAAAATGAAGGGACGATTGACTATCTAAATGGTGATCTGTAAGATATTCTTCTGAAATAGTAAGCTTGACGCTCTGAATGATAAACTTCACTCACAAATATAGTAAAGTTTCAGCTCAAAAATGTCAAGCTGACTATCAGAGTTATGTCGTATAGATTACCCCAATTCCATTCCGGATAAATAAAGAGCAAGTTCTGAATATGAGTTTTATGTTTCGAGGAATCTTTCCAATCATTAGGTATGATATAAAATTGTTAAAACTAAAAAAGAAAATTTAACCGACCAGGCAGGTATTTTTCGCTTCTGGGAGTAGTTTCTGTTTGGAAAGGTAGTTTTTCGTAGATATAAAATTCTGAC